ATTTACAGGTGAGAGCAGCTTCATGAAGAATAGTTAACAAGCCAGGTACACAGGTTATGGTAGTCACCATAAACAAGGTAAGAGAAGCCCAGTCCTTGCCACAGAAACATCAGCAACAAAGGCTGAACTCCTAATCCTCACCAAAGCCTTAGAATTATCTTACAGAAAGAATGTTAACATCTACACTGACCCTAAATATGCCTTCATGGTAGTCCATGCCCATGGGGGCAACATGGAAGGGAAGAGGGCTCTTACCCTCAGGGAATAAGAACGCAAACATGCGAAAGAGACTTAAAATTGGTACAGGTAGTGTGAATCTACCAAACCAGATTGCCATAATGCACTGCCCAGGACACCAGAGCAGTTCCCAAACAAGCCAGGGAAACCAAACTGCCAATAAAGCACCAAGACAAGCTGCCCAAGGGCAGGAGCTTCTTAGGGCTTCAACTCCCCACGGGGACTTCTCAGAATTTTAACCCCATTACACAGAATGACGTGAGAAACAGGCCTGTGAATGGGGACACTTTAACAGTGTTCCTAATTCTCTGTGGAATGTCAACATCCATGGTATGATCTTACCCCTTGAAGCTCTAGTATATTCCACCCTCAAACACTTACATGAAGGCACCCTCATTGAAAGGACCCTAATTTACAAAGGACCATCCAGAGGATTATCCAAGCCTGTCAGATATGTGCCAAAAACCATCCTAAGACAGAACATGCCTATGGGAAAGGGAATGCAATATAAAGAGAAACACCCATTTGAGGACTGGCAAGTTGACTTTACACAGATGCCTAACATAAGAACTTTAAATTTTTATTAGTTTTCAGAGACACCTTTTCTGGATGGGTGGAAGTATAACCCCACTATAACCAAGAAGGCAACTGAGATAGCAAAAGTTCTACCTAAAGAAATAATCTCTAGGTTTGGACTTCCTTACAGCATTCAAAGTGAGAAAGGCCTGCCATTCACTTCAGAAATCTCCCAGAAGGTAGCAAAGGCACTACCAACTCAATGGAAACTATATGCATCTTGGAAACCCCAATCTACAGGGAAGACCGATAAAATAAAGACCCTGGGGAAAATATGGCAGGAAACACATTTGAAATGGTACCAGGCCCTCCCTATTGCCTTGCTCCAGATTGGGGTGGCACTCTGAAGCAGGTTTCAATTAAGCCCTTCTGAAATAGTTTTATGGGTGACCCTTCCAAGTTTCTGTTTTAGGAAAGTCTCCTTTGGAAGACGTTCCTAAATTAAAAATCAAAGAATATGTCCAACATTTGGGGCAAACACTAACAGCCATGCACAAGTTTGCTCATTGCAGGTCTGTCAGACAAACCCTTATGAAAGACCTGGAACACTGCAATATAAGGTCCTGAACAGTGCCAAGCAATGGACCAGTTCCTATGATGTCCTGCTGACAACACACTCTTCCCTAAAGTTCACAGGAATCAAGCCTTGGATCCACCAGGCACAGATAAAGTGGGTGACACCTGAGGACTGGGATCTTGCGCTGCTATTGATACTGCAAAGGAAGACTGGACTCCTGAGATTTAAAATTTCTCTTTCAGAACAGGACAGTGCCTCCCAAAGGTCTCACTTTAGAAGCCCATCTGCAACACTGTCCCTTGAAATATGTAATCTACCAGCTTCACTTGTTCAGTAGGGCCATCCTGTAGATACTACATATGCCACCTTCCAAAGACAGTGACTTCTTCATCACAATGAGGCTTGCCTCCATTCTTAACCCCCTTCTTCTTTTAGCAGATAGCAGAAATCTCTGCACCCAGGCATAGGTAAAAAAAAGAAAAATGCACTATCCCTCTTGACAGGGGGAAGAAGCTACAGAAGCTGAGGCCTCCATCAATTTACCTTGTAAGATTACATGCTTCCAAAGTTCTGAAGGGGGGAACTGTTACTGCTGGCAGAGCACCAGGGTGTCTCCCCCACTGGCCAAGATGTTACAGGGTGAGGTTCTTACGCTGAGCACACCAAAGGCTAGAAAGATGAATGTATAATGCAGAGTGAGCCAAAAGCTGGAGAGATCACTGGATTGTGGGGGGGGAGCCCTCCCCTCCCTATTCCTGTAAGAACTGTGGGCTTGAGCAAGAAGATGACATGGCCTTTTAAAAGGAGCTCCACCTTTCTCCCAGGCCACAACTGAATAAACCTTTCCCTTCATACTAGCACCTGAGTTTGGCTTTTGTTGCAGCAGGTGACTAAACTTGTGTTTCAGTTACATCAATTTAAAACCCTTCTCCTCTGCATAGGCAACTACCCCAATGGTTCCATTTGTCAGTTTTAAGTGTTCTTACAACCACAAGATGTCCTGTGTGTGTACATTTTAAGTTCACATAGTATTTTATGTTTCATTTTCTTGCTTTTATCTCAGCACGGTGCCCTCAGCCCCACCAAACAGCTGTCTGTGTTGTTTCCAGGGTTGGAAGTTCTCCATGGCCTCCATCCCCCATCCGACCAACCACCTTCCCCATCAACCACCTACACCATGTGAATTCCCTTAGGGCCTGGTGAGGGCTATGATCAGAAAAGCAGGCAGGTGGGCTGTAGGGTCTCTAGGTCCAGGATCATTGTGACCTAAATCAGATGACATATGGCAGCAATACAAGGCCAGGGGAAAGCAGTGATTGCCCTAGTTTAACACATTTGACCCTTTCTCCCTGGGCTCCTGGCTCCTCTTCTCACCTGCCTGTCCACACTCTGGCCTATGTTCTTTCACTGTAGCTGCTCTGGGCTCTTCTGCAAACCTTCCCTGTATAGTCTCAGTGTAAACCACTGCAAATGTATTCTATTGTTCCATCCACCTGCTACTCTGGCCATGGGACCCTTGAAAAGGCATTTTTTATAAGTCCAATCACCTCACCTGTGGAAACCACTCCACACACCAGCTTTTCCACTGGTGGCAATAAAGGAATGGCAGCATTCCCATAGAACTGCTGTGGGTGTATCTCGTGTTCTGTGACCCTCTTCCTAAGGGCACAGCAAAGCTGGGGGAGACACCCTAGCAATGACCAGAGAACGGACATCTGCCCACAGGTTTGCACAGCAGCCTGCCCCACCTACCTGCGGGTGGCACTCCTGCCTCTAAGATCAGCTGGCAACCCATTAAGCCTGTTCCTTCTCCCCACGACAAACCATCACCATGAGCAGAGGTCTGGAAGTATTTGTAGTTAATTCTCGAGCTCCAAGGAGGTTCCGGGGAACCCTGGAGCTTGCACATGGTGTGCAAAGCACGGCTGTGTCCCCATAACCCCTACTACATACTGAGTGAAATGACACTCAGTATTTGTCTCTGCTCCCCTTGGACTATGAATCTGAAATAAAAATAAGCCACAGTTCCTAACTATACACAATTTTCCCATCAAGCTCTTATAGTGACAAGTAGAAGGGACTGTATCTCAGTACTGAATATAGGAACCCCTACATAAAAAGGCTGTCACAGAGCTCTCACTGCCTGCACACTCAGAGGAACGATGAGGGGCAGCCAGGCTTCACTGGAGCCCAAGCCAAGGCTCTCTATGGAACACAAGCTAGGCAGCTCCCTCCTGGGTCTTCCAGAGTCTGGAAGAGGCCAGAGGGCACCCCTAGTATGGACCCCTGATCCGAGGGGTCAGAATTATTTGTTAGCGTTATTTAGCCACAGTTATTTGACTTGATGAGATGATGACCATGTCTCTTTCTGATATACAGCCAGGCAGTTTTTCCCCTCTCTGCCCACCATCCTTACATAGATAGCATGTGAAAGCAGTAAAGCGGTCCCCACTGTCAGAAAGAAAGTGAACCCTGGCAGGTGTGGCTCAGCTGGTTGGAACGTCATCCCATAGACCAAAGGGTTGCAAGTTCGATCCCTAGTTGGGGTACATATGAGAAGGCAACAGATCCATGTTTCTCACATCAACATTTCTCTCTCCCTCCCTTCCTAAAAAGCAATTTTAAAAATATACTTTGGAGAATATTAAAAAAGTTTCTTTAAAAAAGAGTCTATGCCAGTGGACCTCGTGTCTTTCCCCAGCCACAGGGTGCCACACTTCTGGGCTACACCTGGGACCCCAACTGAGAGGGGAAGAATCGGCAGCCCTCCAAGTGGGCATCTGGGGCTCAGTCTGCTGCAGCCTGGGCCAGCTCCCCAGTATCACTCAGCAGAGGTGGGAAGTGGGGGCCCATCAGAGAAAACCAGCTGCAGAGGCTCCTCAGTCCCAATCACGGGGCACCGGAAGAGACATGAGGAATATGAGCAAACCCTGATCTAGGCTCCAGGCCACTAGCTCCCAAACTCACAAAAACCTGAGTTGGTGGCACCTAACTTTGAGAAGCTTTGTCCAAAAATGACCCATTTGATCATAAAGCCACTATTTCAGGAATCATAGTCCTAGCCGTCCTAAAGTCTGTCTGTGCCAATGTACTGGGATCCCTTATCCAGTCACTGTGTGACATTTCTGCCCTTTGAACTGATACAATGACACTGCCACTAAGTCACGGATTTTGCTAAATTCATCTCTAGGAGCAACTACTCAGCAGGGGAAGCCAGGACCCAGCAAGACTAATAGCACGTCTACCCTGCTCCTGAGGGACAGTGACAGAGAAGTGGGCATGGCCAACAGACACACTGGAAAGCACAGGGGGCAGAGCTGTAAGGTGAGGTGCACAGGAGGCTGACCTCCCAGACCCACAAGAACCCGGCAGCCATTCCTGCACACAGAAATCAAGCTGTGGGTAGTTTATGGGGGACCTTAAAAAGGAGTGACAGGTTGACCTATCTGCTCACCCTCCCCATCTGCACGCCCTGAGCCTCCCTTTCCTTGGATGATCACCCCAAATTTAATCTTAACTCCTGTGCCCAATGCTTGGGTGGGGGTCTTCAAACCTAGTGGGAACAGGCTCATCGTGGGCAGCATTTAAAGGCACTGGGCTCTGGGTCTAGACAACCCAGCCACCTGGTAGCTGTGACGACGACAGCAGCCACAGAGACCTCAGGCAGAGCTGAAGAGACAGCAGCAGCAACAACAGCTTTATGAAGAGAGAGAACAGGACACACTTGGGTTACGGATGCCCCCCACCACTTCAGGTCTCCACAGCAAAACTGGCTTTTATAGCCCAGAAACAAGACCACCCGAGGAAAAAAACATGGACACTGCTGAGGGGATAGCCCAAGGTGGCACCTACAATACAAAGCCCAGTCTATACTTAGATGAAGACCCTCCGGAGTCCTGAAGGAGGCGGATGGAGGAACTGCTGGGGGCTGGGCCAGGGTTGAGCCAGCATCCTCTGCCTGGCATCACTGCAGGGAGAAAGAGACAGGGAAAGAGAGAGAGGGAGGTAGAGGAGGGAGTAGCCATCCTGAAACCCAGACGACCATGCCCCAGTTCCACCAGCCATAGACGCCTTCCCAAGGCTGAAGCCAAGCCCCCCTCCAATCATCACCTAAAACCACCACCCACTAGAGTTGATTAACCAGCATTCCAGGAGTGAAATCACACCTTAGCCCAGAAAAGAGAAGGACAGAGGCTGCTGGCTCAGGATCAGAGGGAATGCAAAGAATCCAGAGCCTCAAGGGTTAGGCATGGCCTCCAACATAGGGTGTGAGGACATGAAGAACGAGGGTCAGATAGCCACTAGCCTCCTCGGTGGTCCCTGTGCTCCTGGACCCCTCAGCCAGCTCCTGCCTGCAGAGTGCTAGGGTAGCACAGGGGCCCAGTGCTTCAACACTGGGGTGCAACCCTGCCTCACAAAACATCGCCAATGCCATGGAGGCTGGGTTGTCTCCCGGTTCACTGATTCCTGAAATTCAGCCCCAAATGGAAGCCTTCTCTTGGTTGCTCAGCACCCTCAGATGGGGCGGGGCCCACCTGAAGCAGCATGCTGAGGCCCAGGTTTCGGTGCCTCCGCTCGAGCTCCGACAGGGCCTGCAGGAGGGACCTGAACCTCTCTGCAGGGTCAGCATCCTCATCCTCAGGGGACCCCTCCTCTTTTTCCGCCTCCTGCAGGAAGCGCTCCTCCTCCTCCACAAAGAAAGCCCGAAGCTTCTTGTAGTCAGTCAGGGCCTTCTTTCTGCGGTCCATCACGTGTCCCTGCAGGGAGGGCAGAGAAGGACACCTGTGTCCTCAGGCTTCACCCAAGACCCCAGCCCCATGCTGACCACTTCAAGAAGAGAAGGTTTGCTACACAGGGCTCAGCTGCATCCCAAGGCCCCGCCAGATAGGGTCAGAGTGCATACCCGTGTCCCCTCATTCATGCGCACCCCAGGGCCACTCCCACTTGCCTTCCACACAGCAGCAGCAGACTCAGCCTGGCCATGCAGGTCCCGAGCATCATTCAGATCTTTTCTCATGACCTCCACAGACCCCTTGCTCTCCTGGGAAGATAAGCTGGTTACCAGGCTGGCAGCCACACCTGAAGGTCTAGGACACCCCTCCTTTAGCCCAGTCCAGGGTACATTGCACCTCCCGAGTTCACTAAAGATCTGACTGTCCAGAAGGCCCCATCACATCGTTGCTCCTATCCTGCCAGCCTCATGCGAACAGGCTGCAGACACCAGAGAGTTCTTAGTGACTCTGCTAAGCTTGCTCCCTGAAGAAGCCTCACAGAAAAGTCCATCCCAAGAATCTAACTAGATAACTGGACATGAGTGTCCCCTCAGCTACCCGATATTACTGTCACAAGCATAGGAATGGAGAGTGGTATCTGCCAATAGTTACCATATCCTTTTCAGGAGGAATGGCCCTGGCAGGGTCACTCTGGGAATCCCTGATGAACTTGGTGGCCCCTTTAGGGTGTGCATGGCCACACGCAGGGCCTGCTAGACACGGGCACTAGCTGTGTGCTGACCACGTAGGTGGAAGGACCCTCCTCCCCTCCCCACCGGGCAGGAAGAGTCCCCAGGAGAGCCCAGCTAATCTGAGCGCCCACTACCCACAAGGGTGGGTTCCTGGTCGCCAGTTTGCGGTTCCCACCCAGGGTCAGATACCACATGCAATGCAGATGAAGTACCAGAACAGACGTGGAAACCAAAAGAGGGCTGAGGGGACGAGAAGGGTGGGGGGCGGAGACTGGAATACAGAGGAGCCTTAACTGCAAGACAGCCTCAGGGGAGGGTTCACCCCTGGGGAGGAGGCTGCCACAAGGTGACGTCATGCCCAAGGGAGGAGCAGTAGGGCCCCAAGAATTAGGCACAGGAGTGGAACCTGCCACTGGAAGCCGTCGGCAGCTGGGGAAAAGAGAAGGGTAGTTCAAAGGGAAAAGGATGGGCCGGAGGGTATGGGGGGTGGGGTATTTGGGAACAGGACATCAGTTAGAGCAGGGGGAGGGTGGACAGGGAGTCGTCCTCAGGAGGACTGTAAGGCTCCGTGCACCATCTGGCGCGGGTAGGGAGAGGGATGGCGGCGCACAGGGCACCGCCCGCGCGCACCTTGCCGCGCAGTGCCTTCCTCCAGCGGGGCTCCCACTCGGGCGGTTCGGGCCCTGCTGCCATCCGGCAAGCGGCGCACAGCGGACCCCCATCAGCACGACACAGCAGCTGCAGCGCAGCCTCCGAGGCCGGGCCGTCGCGCGCGGGTGCTGCTGCCGCCTCCTCGAGCGCCAGCAGGCGTCGGCTGAGCGGCGGGCGGCCGGGCTCCACGGCGCGCTGCCAGCAGTCATCAGCGCACTCAGGGCAGGGGAAGGGCCCATCCTCCTCCGCCCAGAAACGCACCACGCACGCCCGGCAGAAGCGGTGGCCGCAGTCGGCGCGCACCGGCTCGCGGGGCGTGCGCTGGCACAAGGCGCAGGCGGCCTCACCCGGGCCTGCAGGGAACGCCAGGGCGGCGGCGGGGGCCCTAAAAGAGGGCGCGGGCGAAGAGGCCGGCGAATGCGGACCGGGACCCGGTCGCTGAAGGAAAGTCAAGACGCTGCGCTAGACGGGACAAGGATGGCGACCGAGATGCGCGTGGGCGGGGAAGACTGGGCGCTGCACGCACGGTCCTGGCAGCGGTGTACATCACCCGCGGGTCTTGTCAACGGGACGCTTCACTCTTTAGCCGGCGAGCCCTCCACGTCATCGCACCAGAAAAATCTTACAGCAGTTGTCACTTCCCTCATAAATTACATGTAGGAGAGAGGGAAAACAATTTTTATTATTTAGAGAACATTTAAAAGTCTTGTGAGCTGATAGGACCTGAACTGCAAGCACCCAGCGGGGTGGGGAGATGCTGACAATTGGCTTCGGAGTCCCTCCGGTAAAAGACAGTTTTGCACGCCCCGCCCAGCCCGGCCACCGGCTCGGGCTGTCCCCCGCCGCCCCCACCGAAGAGAAATCTATTGATCTCTTTAGGAAAAACAAAAAAGTTTTGGGAACAAGCAGTCTTTTTACCCTGAACACAACCAAGCCCGCAGTTGGAAAAAATTACTATTACGTTATTTTAATATTTAAAAAATGAATTTACTATCGCATACAAGTGCAAAATCTCCGAGAGGTGTCCCTTTTCGGCTTTGTAGGTTTTGAAAAATCTGTTACAGACTTAAAAATGCACCAAGTTATAGTTGGAAATGCGACTGGTAAACCGTGGCTGTGTAGAGGAATTGTCAGAAGGACGAAGGCGCTTCAAGGCCCGCCGCCCAATTTGTGGGGCAAAACAGAAATGTAATGGAGAGAAAAGTTTTTTTAAAAAAGAAAAAAGCAACTGGGCAAAGTCCATGATATTCCTGTGAGTGGGGAAAAAAGTCAAGCACAATAATTAAAGACAAATAGTCAAACTAGGGAATTTCAGCCACAAATATACAAAGAGTACATCAGTCTGATACAGAATAGTACAGTAGAAAATGACCCCCGTGGGATTTTTTAATTCACCAAATAAAAAATTATAAATACACATAAAACACACACACTCTCTGACCAGTTACTAAGAAATAGGAACATAAACTGAGATTTTTTTCACTATTAAATTAGCAGGATACCCCTCCCAACTGCCAAAAAATAAAATAAGACCTGACTTTATAGATAATGATGCCATAAAAGCGAATCCCTAGTGGGAGCTCAGCCCAGAGCCAAGAGGGTCCTTGGCTTCTCACAGGAACCAATTCAAACACAAACCAAAATAGAGTTTAATTGGAAGTAAGTTTATTGGGTAGAGAGGGTAAGCAAGAAAAGCCACTTCACAGAGTGAGACTCTCTTCACAAGGGTAGGAAGAAAGACCCCCAACCATCTCTAGAGGTTGAACTTATATCTGTTTGTAATCTGTATGGAAAATTGCTGGTGTAGAAAAATAGAGAGTGGAACATTTGTTGGGATTAACTTTAACCTTCACAAGGTCTATTTTGTGACATTGTGTTTGCCTTTTATAGTATAGGTGAACAATAAGGTATGGATGAGTAGCTATTAATCGATCTTTGCAGGAATTTCTTTTGTTCTGGAGGCTCTTCATGATCTGCTTGCCTCTGTGGTCAACTGAGCTCCATTTCAGGCAGAAGGTAGCAATCTCCTGACTTAACTTTGTTTGACTTCAGTTAATAGTGCTCATGCCCTTCTCCTGTATTAATATTGCTTCTCGGAGGCAATGTAGCAATTATGTATTGAGAACCTTCAGATTTTCATAATCTTTGAAACTGCTTTTCTTAAAATACACTATAAAAATAACCCAAAATGGAAATAAAGACTTTCATGGTTTGCTTTGGAAAAATGTTTGTTATATCAGTATTTAAAAACCAAAAATGTTACAGTTTTAATAATGAGAGCGGTTCAGTCATCACAATCACCATCGATTTGAAAACTTGCACAGGAGAGCCAGGAAATGAAAAAATGGTAGACATTTGCATAGCTGTCCCTGATTCTGCTCCTGATTGCAGTGTGTGGGTTTTCTGTACACCAAGCAACTCCCCAATACCAGCTGAGTGACCTACAATTTAACTGAGTTAAATTGTAGGTCACCCAGAGATAGCATCAGGCCCCACAGGTGAAGGGCTCAGTCCTACAAGACTGCCCCACCCCCTTCACATGTCACCTGTTCTTTTGACCATCCAGCTATAGAGTGGGGTTTTCTATGAATCTTCTCTTGGATTCAATTAATTCCCTAGAGCAGCTGGCAAAACTCAATAAATCAATTTACTTACCAGAGCACCAGCTTATTATAAAGGATATGACTCAGGAAGAGCCAAGTGAAAGAGATGCACAGAGCCAAGTATGTTGAAAGGGGTGGGAAGTTTCCATGCCCTCTCCCTGTGGGTATACCACTCTCCCAGAACCTCCATGTTCTCACCATTCAGAAGCTCACCAAACCCTGTCTTTTGGGGATTTTATGGAAACTTCATTACATAGCCATGATTGATTAAATCACTGACCATTGGCGCTTGATTCAATCTCCATTTCCTTTCCCCTCCCCTGAGATAATAGAGGTAGGATTGAATGTTTCAACACTCTATGACATGGTTGGTTCCCTGGTAACCAGCCTTCCTCCTTAGGGACTTTCCAAAATTAACTCATTAACATAAACTCTGGAGTGGTTGACAGGGCCTTGTTATGAATATTCTCATCACAGGAAATCCCAAGGGTTTTAGGAGCTCTGCACCAGGAATTGTGGACAAAGACCAAATATATATTTCTTATTATAAATCCCAATATCACACCTCCCAAGACAGACTCAAAGAAGTTACCTAGCATTTCTCACTCTCCCTTCCTAGTCTTCCTCTGCACCCTCCAAGTGAAAGATTTAGCTAAGTGTTCTTTGAGAAGAAGAGTTGGGTGGGCAGAGGGCAAGGAAGGTGGACAGACTCCCACATCTGCCTCTTGAACCATCCAGGAAATTAAAGAATACACTTTTAGGATTATTGCTAAGTATCACATTTAATACACACCTACAAAATAGTAGGACACATTTTTCTCTGGGTGTCTTGGTGCTCCGATTCCCATTGCACTGACACCAAGAACTAAATAAGAGGATGTCTCTTCTCGAAAAGGGAGAACTCCCAATATTTCCAGGCTGCGAACCATCTTCCTTTTTCTCAATAGTAAGTGGATTAATATTAAATGTTTGGGGATTAAATTCACAACAATAAGAAATTCGAATATTTTCTATAAGAGCGTGACAAGGTCATTTTCTGTTTAGGCCAGCAAAAATATAGACCAGCGGAATAGAAGTAAAAAATTCCAAAGAGGACACACCACTCCAAAATGTACCACTTTGGCAAGAAGATTATTTTGAGCTGGAAGCAAATGACAATCAAAGATGCAGAAAGACACCCTCCCAGAGCTTCTCCAATCTGATTAAAAGCAGAAACTTCTGAGAAATGACAACTGCCACGAAGCCCCTCTCCAGGGGAATTTTTATGGCCATAAAGAAAAGGAGAATTTGGTGCCAATATGGACCTGCACTAATAGTCCTTATCTTCTATTACCTTCCACCAAAAATTTACTTCCCCATAGCTCATCACCCTTAAAAGCCTAAAATCCTTTCTTGTCACTTCTCTACAAATGTATTCTTTGTTAAGATGCTACAAAGCCCAAGTTCTAAGCATCCCCTTGAGTAACTCACCACTGAGGTTTCTCCTAGGTAATGTGTGCTACACATATTAATAAACTACTTTTTTCCTGTTAATTTGTGTGTAAATCTCATGGGGCCCTGGCCATTGAACCTGAGACTGATAGAGGAAAATGTTTTTCTTCTCCTACAATCTTTATTACAGGAAATTGCAATCCAGAATATGTTGTACATTTCATGTGTGTTTTGTTGAATTTTGGGTCACCCTATTTTAAGTTCTGTTCTAACAAAGCAGGGTGTACAAAAATGAGAGAGACGGTCAGTTGTGTGTATAGGGACATGCTTGAAGAAACATTAGAAGTATTTAGATAAAGTTCTGACTGGAAATTTTATATCTGGCACATGAAAATGGAATTGAAAATAATTTTTATTGTTGTTAGAAATAGTGTTACTGAACAAAGTGGGATTCGGCTGCTTTTTGCCAAACACAGCATAACACAAAACTGGTGGGAAAGGAAAAAGTCTTCATTCTTCATTAACAGGTTGCTCAGCTTGGGGGATGTGGACACTCCCCAGCTCCAGGGCAATCTCTTCCACAAAACACAGAAAGATGCCAGCCACCCCCAGAACCAGAGTCAGTGTCCAGAAACACCATTCCAATCTTACCTGTCCTCCTGGAGCACAAGACTGTTATGTGAACAGGTCTATCTGGCTCTCTAGCTTCAGATCTCTCTCTCTCTCTCTCTCTCTCTCTCTCTCTCTCTCTCTCTCTTTCTGCAGAGCACATCAATGGGGCAGACTTTCCATTGTCTCCTCAAAGCTTCTTTCCTCTCCAGTGCCAGGGCATGCCGCCAGATCACTGCAGCCAGTTGTACAAGGGGCTCTCTCTGTCCTAGCAGTTCCAGGATCCAAGGCTGCTCACATACCTTGGACCAGCAAGCGTTCCAGACCTGCATGTCTGTGTACTGCCCTCAGATCAAGAGGATGGAAGCAGTCCAGGACCTGTGCCACATAGTGAGGAGCCACAGTATCCCACAGGCCTGATGCTGGCAACACTCATGTCCCACGTGCAGGACTTGGCCTCCGCAAGCTGGGTTCTGACTGGGTGAGCAAGGGAAATGCAAAAATGGGCCAAGACTCCACACCTTCCATCTTTTGCCCCAAAATCTTGCATGCTGTGGGAGCGTCCAACTTGCCGACCATTCTAGGCTAACTTCTATCATATGTGTCAGCCTACAGAACATCTCTGCCTCTTCTCTTGCTTCTTCTCTTGCCACCATGGTAAGTGGGAAGGAGGGTTTCTAGCTGTACACAGCATCTCTGCCTGGAGCATGGCTCCACGTGCCTGCTTGTTTACCCTCTACTGGGGATATGGAGTCACAGGTACTGTGGCTTCAGTCTGTTGCCTTGGAGTTTCCTGCAACCCCACCCTTACTTCAAGGA